ATTCACAAATATGATAAAAGCTGAAAACCTGTAACTATTGATTTCCATTGTATTTTTTGGTTTTCCTACAATTCCTACTAAAGATTTTCAGCTTTTTTTCATGATATCTTTATTAGTGTAACGATAAAAAATAAAATAAAAAACTCAAAGGTTTAGAGCCACTTGATGGCAGCTAAATAGTCACTTTAAATTTGTGGTTGAATTATTTAGTTCTAACTACTGATTGACCTAATGTTTAACTTTGAGCAAAAGCTCTTGTCTCAATTCTTTAAAGGATTATTTAGTTCAAGTAATATCTGCTTACCCTGTGTTTGGTTTGTATGTACCACTTTTGTGGTATAACATAAAAAGTAAACGAGTTAACACATTTTAAGTCATCCTCCATTTATTTACATTTATACAAATGGTATTTTTATTCAGGCACTGATGGAAAAGTCATTTCTGGAGAAATGCATCATTTTGTTTACATAAGACATTTACAAACATTTACATTTACATTTACAAACGCCAGGTAACCACTATATAGTGAGCACGGTAGCATTAGTCGGCAGGAGAAGCACTTTAGCAGCATCTAGAACAGCAGCCTGTAAGTACATTTAAGATTTGTTTCAGTTGTTGTGTATGGTTTGAGGACTTGTTTCCAGCTGTTTGTGTAAAGTTGTAGGACATTTAAACTTGCTTTCAGTTGTGTATAATACTAGAAGTTGTTTAGCCACTGTTTCCTTGGTTACTATAAGAGCTTGTGTAGCGAACGCAGACGCGGTTCGCGTCGTCCGCCTCAGTTTCGGCCCTTGTTTTGACTCGGGAGGCGTGTCCAAACGCCAGGTAACCACTATATAGTGAGCACGGTAGCATTAGTCGGCAGGAGAAGCACTTTAGCAGCATCTAGAACAGCAGCCTGTAAGTACATTTAAGATTTGTTTCAGTTGTTGTGTATGGTTTGAGGACTTGTTTCCAGCTGTTTGTGTAAAGTTGTAGGACATTTAAACTTGCTTTCAGTTGTGTATAATACTAGAAGTTGTTTAGCCACTGTTTCCTTGGTTACTATAAGAGCTTGTGTAGCGAACGCAGACGCGGTTCGCGTCGTCCGCCTCAGTTTCGGCCCTTGTTTTGACTCGGGAGGCGTGTCCAAACGCCAGGTAACCACTATATAGTGAGCACGGTAGCATTAGTCGGCAGGAGAAGCACTTTAGCAGCATCTAGAACAGCAGCCTGTAAGTACATTTAAGATTTGTTTCAGTTGTTGTGTATGGTTTGAGGACTTGTTTCCAGCTGTTTGTGTAAAGTTGTAGGACATTTAAACTTGCTTTCAGTTGTGTATAATACTAGAAGTTGTTTAGCCACTGTTTCCTTGGTTACTATAAGAGCTTGTGTAGCGAACGCAGACGCGGTTCGCGTCGTCCGCCTCAGTTTCGGCCCTTGTTTTGACTCTCGAGGCGTGTCCAGCTGAATTCAATCAGCTAACGTTAGTGCTTTGGTGTTATATAAACAACTAGTTCACCGCGGCAGCGGTCGCGGCAGCCTCGTGTGAAGACCGCCTCGTGTGAAGACCGACGAGGGTAACCCAGACAGCACACATACGTTGGGCCGACGTCGGCCGAAGGTCAACACGTCGGCCCCTTTAATTCTAACATCGGTATATGGTCGGCCAAACATACGCATGATCGTTCGGTCGTGTGTTCTATTGTTCCAGCTCAACAAACGTCGGCTCTGCATCGGTTAACGACCAGAGGCCGACGAAGCACTTCATAAGCACTTTATCTCTCATGCCCATGAAGGAATCCGGCCACATATTTGGTTTACAAGTAAGTTTTTGCGTGCATAATAAATTAGACAAACGCGAGATGCATCATGTCTACTGCGTCGGTCGGTCCAGCTTTAAATAGTCTACATTAATGCAGTAAAACTGACCAAAATGCCTACAACACATGGTTTCAATTCATTAAAATATAAAAAGTTTTGTTGTTATGCTTAAATAATGAAAACGTTGTTTTTTTTTCTGGTGTTAACTGCTGTTTGCTTTTTTTTATTGTGGCTTTTTCTAATACATTTTTCCCAGTGTAAAAATCAAGTATGTTTCTGCATGTTCGGCTGTTTAATTAAAATAAACACCTTTTTACAGAGTGACATCTTTGTTTTATATATACTTGCATTTATATTTATTGGTTATTTATTTTTGACAGTGAATCTGATGCACAAATAAGTGTTTGTTTTGTAACAGTTTAGTAGGCTATAAAGCTCTACTTAAAGATAATAGCGTATATAAAACTACTAAATACATTTTTAATTCAATATATAAAATACAAGGTTATTATTTAAATAGTCTATGGAGTGATCATGTTTATAAATGTAATACTGCATGACTTTGATGTGCGCGCGCGCGTCTCATTCCAACACTGGAGCGGAGGGGATGTTGCTATGGGAAACGAAGCTAAAACACGACACGACACCACCTGAAAGACACAACACGACTTCTCTCAAGCTGCCGTTTTGACAGTTTTCAGGTAAGTTTAGTCCCTAAAACAAAGCAAATACTACATAAAACTGTTCCTCACACTTTTATTATTGGCAATTGATGAATATTCAGTTGAATATTATGTTATATAAGAGTGGTAAGTCTTCGTAAAAGTCCGTTAGCATATTAGCACTGGTAACGTTAGCGTCGGGGTAATATTACGTTAACTTACTTAATGTTAGCTCTTGTTAAACTTGTTTGTTAAAGTTTAGGCTTTTATTTATTCTTTATGTGTAGATGAGAGGTTTTGTCAATGTTTTATTTAATGCACTCCATATGTAACGTTAGTCTAATACGCATTGTACTGTAAAGGACCGTGAATCAAAAGTTCAATCGTGTTTTGATATTTCATAGTAACGTTATCTTAAACAAATGTTAAGTAAAAAAGTGTTCTGTGGTTTCAGGAGTGAGAGAATAACCCCCTGCTACAGAAAACATAACACAAGATTCCTAAATTTCTGAAGGGAGCTGATCACAGAGATGCAGAAAAGACAGGTAACTTTAAGCAGAGGATTAATTCATATGAATTTCCATTGCACATCATTATGCACATGTTACATGTCTATATATTATGCATCTGTTACTTGTCTTTATTGCAGTTATTTTAAGAAAGTTTTGACATTGAAACATGTGAGTGGTGTTAAATTTCACATCACATGATTCTTCAGAACTTAATAAATATGCAGATTTGCTGCTAATGAAGTAATATTTGTTATTTTCATTTTGTTAAATTTTTTTATGATTAATTGATTTATTAAATCTTAGAAAAAAGTTTACACTAAATTATTTGTCATCACATCTGTTTTTAGCATTGATAGCAATCAGAAATGTTTCTTGAGCAGCAAATCAGCACCATTTGATAATCACCATTATATTAGTTCAACCTCAAGCACTAAATCAACATCTTAAAAAAAGATTTCTGAAAGATCAAGTGACACTGAAGACTTGAGTAATGATGCTGAAAATTCAGCTTTACATCATAGCTATGAATTACATGTATATTTACACCATTTACCCATCCCTTACACCTTAACTCATCCTCAAACAAGTCAATTTAAGCCCTAAATGAATACATTTTGATTTGTACAGGCATGATATGCAACTTGTATTCAGTCGTTTTGTTTTTTCTTTCTTTTGCTTTTGTTTTCCACATCAACTGAAAAGGAGGTCAAAGTTTAACCTAAGTGCTGTGTAGCTGATGAACATCTTTATATGTAAGTATATTTTTGACTGACTGCCAGACACTTGTCAAACAGTGATGAGCAAACGAGGGGCCGTTCTTTTAAAAAGATCAGGGAGATGCAAGTCTGAAGATAAATATACATTTTAATTCAAAATTGATTTATCTGTAAATATTTCATAATGTTTTGAGATATGTGCCCTATATCCATTTAGATGTCCATGCATGTTTAAAATACTTTTAAATTTAACAACGGCTGCAAGTTATAAAAACATAAACAAACACAAAAATGTTAAAGTAAATTGAGAAAACATTTTCATCAGTTTGACAACATACACAATCTCACAAATAGCATAGAAAAAGTGACAAAGCTGTCTTCTTTGTCTGTGTTTTATTACTCTCTTTGCACTCTCGGCCACTGTATGTAACAGTGATTAGTATAATGTAACGGTAGACAGATGAGGAATGTGAATATGTAGTTTAACTTTAAGGAGCGTTACTACTGGAACCATTTTTTGTACAAATATATATATATATATATATATATGTATTGATTTACCTGTTAAAAAAATTAAGCAAAACATTTATTATCAGGTAGATCAGCTCCTGACAGACATGTTAACAGGTCAGTTTAACTTTTATTAAATTCATTCATTCATTCATTCATTCATTCATTCATTCATTCATTCATTCATTTTATTTTCTGATTAGTCCCTTTATTAATCTGGGGTAACCACAGCGGAATGAACTGTCAACTAATCCAGCATATGTTTTATGCAGTGGATGCCCTTCCAGCTGCAACCCATCACTGGGAAACAACCATATACGCTTATTCTCACTCATACACTACAGACAATTTAGCCTACCCAATTCACCTGTACCCCATGTCTTTGGACTTGTAGGCAAAACCGGAGCACCCAGAGAAAACCCACGCAAACGCAGGGAGAATTTGCAAACTCCACACAGAAATGCCAGCTGATCCAGTCGAGGCTCGAGTCAGCATCCTTGCTGTAAGGCAACAGCACTATTGTGCCACCACGTCATGCTCTTATTAAATTATATTTATATAATGTTGTGTTTCAGTACATGCTATTTTGGAAAGACAAAATATATTCATAAGCTCTCAGAAAATTCAATAAGACAATTAACTGCACAATTACTTGAAATGTGTGGATGGGATTACATTATTTGTTAACCCAAAGTGAGTTTCTCTTTCTTTGCAGTATTGGATGCCTGATTGCAGTTCAACTCCAAACTCAGTTGGACCAGCTGATCAGTGTCTTCAGTATTACCACAAGCTACTGGGCAGATGTGTGGACACGACAGCTATGAGCCAAACTTGGGACGTTTGGTTTTTAGGTAATACCAGTGACAAAGTATTCAGTAAATTGCTTATAATAAAAGACCCCCTTCTAGTTAAGTTGTTTGCAGTTTCATTGTTGGAAAAATACCATACTTTTTCTTTTTTTATCAGCAGGTGGAGAGACCGTCTGGGCAGCAGAAACAAGACAACTAATCATAGTTGAGTTGAGATTAGTATTATTAACTTGACTAGTTTGGTTGCAGACTTGTTCAATACTTAACAATTTGTATAAGTTACAAGATCAATGGTCCTGCTATCAATGTTTTTGTAACTTAAATTCATTACAGTTTAGATACAATCAAATGTCCAAACCATCTCTGAGTGAATGACATCAAGGAAACAGGATCAAAAGATCATTCATTATAGACCGTTTCATAGGTAACAGCACATCCTTTGTGAAAAATAATTTATTTTTGTGTCATCATCACAAGACAAAATACATTTCAACTGATTTCAGTTGGTTATATTTTTCAGGTCATTCTGTTCTCCTGGTGGTGAGGATGTGCAGAGGCTGTATTTGTGCAGCTGTATTCACACATACAAGTAGCCGACAAAGAGTTCTGGAGCAGGACAGACAGGTAGTTCACAGTGGCTAGGCTAGAAATTTATACTTGGGTGGCCAGAAAGTGGCCTCCGCTATTTTGGGGGGTCCATACAAATACACCAGTGTAAGCTATACTATTGCACTGAAAAAATTAAATGAAAGAATTAATTAATCGGTTGAACACAAAATATTTTAAAGAAAGCTTAAGTATCAAGGTGGCAATATACAGTATCTGTTACATTGTAGTACATGAGCTGGCTAATACAGACTCGTAAATGTTTAGTTGTTAAGATTAGTTAAATACTAAATCCTATACTTGAGACCGGCTGCATATACAGCTTTAACTGAACTGAATTTAACTAGAACTACACTAGCATTCCAAGTGCTCTAGACTAGCTTTTTGCACTGGTGCGTCTAAAATGTTTGATGGCATTGCATTTAACACTGCAATTTTACATGTTAAAATCACAATCCATATAGGCAATATTGACTTGTAAATGATTAACAAAAATCGGGTCAACACACATTATGGGGATTGTGTGTAGAATTTTGAGTAAATTAATGAATTTAATCCATTTTGAAATAAGACTGAAACATTAAAAATGTGGAAAAAGTGAAGCGCTATCAATACTTTCCGGATGCATTGTATATGGTTTTTAGCACGTTATCAAAGACTTAAAAAAATAGTCCAACACTATCTACAGCAGCAAAAGACCCTCCACATCAAAAGCTACTGGTCAGCTCACGATTCAGCAAACATCTGAAAAACAAATAGCTCATTATGCCTTCACAAGAAATCAGTGTTTTTGAGTCTAATGAAGATAGTACTATTTTATTAAATTATTATTTAGCCTGGCATGTTTACTGTTACAAAATATTTTAAATGTTTCTTAAAATAAAACATATTGTGTTTAATGAGGAAACAGTAGCTGTTTTTTTTACAGAGATAAAAAAACACATTTCAGAGCAGTAATCACAATACTGTGAAACTGTGATATTTTTATCTAAGATTATACCCTCAGAATCTTATACCTGCTCATTCCTAGCCAGTTACTTAAAGCATTCAGTCAGAGTTTTTTTTAATTTTTTTTTCAGTTGTCCTATATTCTGTTTTTCTTTGTTCTTGGAAATGCTGCTGTGCATGAAAATGTGACGACATATCCAGGTTCTATAGTTAATTCTGAAATAAATCTTAAAATGAAACAATATTTAAAAATGCAATATTTAATGTGTCAGACACTAAATAAACATGTCAATTCATTTATATCAATCTGATTCCTTAACAGGGCAGCACGGTGGCGCAGAGGGTAACACGTTTGCCTCACAGCAAGAAGGTCGCTGCTTCGAGCTTCGGCTGGGTCAGTTGGCGTTTTTGTGTGAAGTTTGCATGCTCTCCCTGTGTTGGCGTGGGTTTCCTCCGGGTGCTCCGGTTTTCCCAAGTCCAAAGACATAGGTGAATTGGGTATGCTAAAATTGACCATAGTGTATAAGTGTGTGTGAATGAGTGTGTATTGGTTGCAGCTGGAAGGGCATCCGCTGCGTTAAACATATGCTGGATAAGTTGGCCTTTCATTCCGCTGTGGCGACCCCAGATTAATAAAGGGACTAAGCCCAAAAGACAATGAATCCTTAACAGTTAATATTGGTATAATGAGCAGCAGTTGTCATTTATGTAAATTAACCATTTGAGCGTGCTTAGTTTGGGGTATGTTGTGCCATTAAATTGTCAATTGTCAATTTCTACATTTTAAATCTGCTTTAACTTTCTTCTTTCCTATAAACCTGGAAATATAAAATATATATTTTTTTGGTTTTTAACAAATTGCTTATTTTATTCTTAGATTGGTGTACGCTGATGGTCTGCTGAGAATTCTCCTGAGTTAAAGGGATCCTCCTGT